AATGTTGATGCTAAACAGTCTGTGTTTGCCAGGAAGACATGATGCTGCACAGCAAATTTCATGGTTATTGGTCTTTGAGATTTTTATGTTTGTCACAGGCAAGCTATGAAACACAAGCTTGACAGACAGACAAGATAACACAGATTCCCTGTCATATGGTTTTTGAAGTTACAAAAAGGGACTTGAGGGAGTGAAATTTCACTCCCTGAAGTCAAAAAGAAAAACAGAACATCCTAAAATTCCAAATGATCTTGGACTTTCTTTTCATTGTAAATCAGCAGTTAATATATTTAGTGGACACCTTGACATAAAAATGCAGTCCCTGTATGTGTTCCACTGAATTTACCATTTATGTAGGTTTGCTCATGCAGCTTGGTGATGCTTAGCAGGTCCGCCCCCTGCTGCTGGCAGCTGACCCGAGCCTCGTTCCATGACAGCGTAGCCTGGAAGTTAAACTGGTAACAGCTCTCTGTCAGCGGGTCAGTATCCCAGAATGTCTCACAGTCGCTGCCTGACAGTGAAGGAGCCAAATGAGAACTCAGTGAGACCAGAGGAGAAAGCAGCAGTGGGAGTAAATTGTGGTGAAGTTCAGCTGAGTTTCTGGCAGTTTCCAGTCTAACCAGAATGAACTCAGAGAGAGAGAAGAAGAATACGGCGGTGTCTCACTCTTCACAGGGCAGAAGCCCCAGCGCTCGTCCTTGCCATAATCATAGGTGGTGGCGCACCACAGGTGACCATCCTCCCGCCCGATGCCAGTGCAACTGTGGAACCACCGGCGATCGTACAGGAAGGGCAGGTAGCAGGGGCGGCCGTGAGAGTTCCCCTGGATTGTATAGATCTCTGGGGAACGAGAGAGTAGAGACTTTCACTCCCTGCATGTGGCAGCAGAGGCAGGCCTTGCTCGGGTTGTCTAAAGTCATGGTTGTGAACTGTACTGAACTGAAACACCACATGTTTTCATATGCACTAGTACAATCAAATAGAGGGTGAAAACAGAGGATGAAGTTACAGTCGAAACAGTGAAGTCAAACATCAGCAATAGGAAGAGAAAACAAAATACACGAATTAACAGGAAATGATGAACTTTATGTATAAACAGAATATACTACAAATTCAGAAAAAAGGTTAGACTTAAATAATCCAGTGCAGAGCCTTAGAAGAGATTACATGCATGTTTAGGTTAGTTTAACCAATCATCTATATCTGATATGTGCACTTTGACAAAATACCCTGAGGTTGCTGCTCCACAGTAGACATTCCACCAGTATAGTATGGTGTGAAGAAAAGGGCACAGAGAGAGAGGGAGAAGCTGGATCTGTAATGTTTTCAAAACATGCTTGGCTGATGGAAAGTAGGGCAGACACGTTAAAAGTGGGAGTAAAGATTCCTGAAGCTCCCGTTCCGCTCCACCGCTGTCTGGCTGTCTGGCTGCAGTGGAGCTGCTCCTCGGCTGACTAATACGAGAGGCACTGAGTTCACTTCACAAAGAAAATCATCAAGATCGGCGCTTGAAAGTTAAAAATGTCAATCTGCCTAATTCCTTCGCCACAAAAATGTAAGAGAGGATAAAGAAGAAAGCGAAGCAAGATTTTCTGGTCTTATGGCAGATCTGGATTAAATTGCAGCTCACTAACCACAGACCCATACGAGCGACTGAGCGTTGCAGTATAGTTTGTACAACAACCGTGACATTTGATATGAGTAACAATGGCACTGGCAGCAGAAATAAGGCTTAGCTGCAAACCACTATAGTCAGATTTCAACTGGACTGAAAATTATATGTAAATACAAATATAGTTGAGGTCAAGGACAACGTTCTGTGTTTACTGTAGTTTACAAACACTGACAGTGTTTTCCTTGGCTTCCTGACTGGCAACCAGTCACTTGTCCTCAAAGACTCCCCAAAGGCAACATCCATCTTTATCCATTTGATCAGATACAGATGTGGCATTCACAACAGTAGGTCTGTCTGGCACACGGAGGCGGAACAACGGACTGCACAGCAGAGGAGCAGTTCACTGAGCCACTGTACATGTAGGTAGACTCCTGGAATGGCTGTGATATCTGTCATATTATTTTCTAATGTTGGTAGATTTGACTTGATTTTGATATACACTATCAGTCAGAAGTTCAGACACTTTCCTATTCAATTCAATGGGAAAGTGTCCAAACCTTTGACTAGTAGTAGATCATTTTTGTTTATTAATCAATAAAAAAGTTATAGAAAATTAAAATATAAAAAAATCTAAGTTTATAGAGCGACCTGTCCTGGGTGTGCCATGTCTCTCGGCCAGGGTAGGACTGGCACCCCCTCCCTTAAAACACCCCCCAACACAATTGATATTCTGTCAGCTGTATTGTCTGTTATGTTGCTCAGGATTAGCTAATGGTTTTTAAAGCTATTTCAAAATGAATTTTGAAAGGTTTTTGTGTCAGACACAAATAAAAACTGTCCACCAGTGTAAGACTCCTTGCAATGCGAATCTGAAGTGTGCTTACCTCGATATGTTTTAGAGCACAGGTCCAGAACGCCACCGTACAGAGTCCATTTGAGCTTTGAAGGGGAGGGTGTTGTGGAGGAGTTCCAAAGTGATGGTGATGGAAGGTAGTTGTTGAGGTTGTCCAGCACCTGGCCACAGTTCCAGGTCCAACGTACTGTGGGAGGTTCATGGTCACAGGTGTACACCCCCAGAGGAGACCTCCACCTGGAGGTGAGGTTGCCAGTGGTCACACCCAGGCACAGCGAGGAGCCCAGGTTAAACAGGCGCCCCCGGGTCACCCACTTCCATCGCTGGTTGTCTTCCTTACAGGAGGATGAAAGGATGAGGGAGTGATCCTGCACCCCCAGGCATCCCTGGGCGCCCTCATGGAAGAAAGCAAACTCATCAGAGTCCTGCGGTGCTGTGCAGACAGAGAGAAACAATGGCATCAATCAATAATGCTGATGAAAATAGGAGCCCATCTTAGCAGCTCATGTGGCAAGAGAGGAGGTCAGAGGGGCTAGATCGAAATCTCCATCAATGAATGCAGTGCTGGGTAAGAACTAGTTTGAGTTGTGGCCTCTGATGTCCCTGTCAGTTGAATTAATCCTCTGATAAAGTCCTGTACACGCATTATATGACAGAGCTCTCAGCGGGAAGTAATTGAAATGCCATGCAATAAACTGTGTTGCATTTGTTTCTGATGCAAGGTCAGTATTTCACAGGCACCGGCTCTCAAGAATTCACTGCGTTTGTAAAGTTTGACCTGGAATTGCCTCCCCCCTTGTTCACCGCTGTTTGTCATGTTTGCTTCTGCTGAGTTTAAGCCTGGAGAGAGCAGCAGTTGGTGAGTTTGGGAAATAAAAATAGCCTACAGATCATTATTATGGGAGTGTGTAGAGACACTTTGGCTCATTTAACTCATGTTAACAGGTCTGAATGTGATTAATTTGATGAAACAGAAATTCTCCTCAAGGGGGAAATGGATGACTGCTTGAAGTCTGCAGACTTCTTGCTACCATAGAATGATGTATTTATAGGCATTACTTCTGTGTGGCAGTGAATGTGTGGGAAGGTGGAGAAAGTAAGACAGAGAAATACTAAAGAGTGTAAGACGGACACTAAACTAAAACTACTTGAAACAATATCTCCAAAACAGACAAATCTCTTTTCTCAGACCCAAGATTCGGAGGAGCATTCGTACTTTGGAAGGCTCCTGTGAGAAGCCAGGAAGTGGTGTAGGTGGTAAGATCACTGGGCATTTGGTTGAAAAACACAGCTCTCGTGCTGTCTGTGGGTACTTCAGTCTCTCATTTCCTACCTCTCAGCTAAAACCCTCCAAACCCCCTGTGCTGCTTTTAGGGACACAGAAACAATGGAGTCTCATCTAGAGCTCCATAAAAACCCCTGTAATCTAGACGAGACGACCGCCCCCCACCCCTACATTCAAGCCTCTGTGGTTGAGTTTCTCAGAAGCAGTGTTAGCTCATGTGGTTGGTAGCAAACACAGTATACAGAGTGCAGTGGTAACTGCTCTGTACAGTGTAATCAGATATAATTATCACCCTGCTCTTTTTATAACGTCACCCATTTTACAGAAACATCCGACATTTGGGCTCGTTTACTGCTAGTTTATTGTTTTAATGATGAATTATTCACATCAGAGAAAGTGTGTTGCCTGACAGGGAAACAAAAACCCTCAAATCATCTTATGAAGGTAAAAAACTTAAAAGCTTTTTGTGTAATTAATACAAAACATCTGAGATGCTTTTGTGACACAAGGCTGTCATTCTAGTTACTTCTGTTAATGCAACATAATCCAGAGCTGGATGAAATGTTAAGAAATGCCAGCAGAGAACTTGCTGAGTGGAACATCACCATCTGATGAATCCAAAGTCAGATCAACTTCTCAAATTTCCTTCACCTACAAACAGTTGATTAAAAAACTAGCGGCAACTAATGATTTGTTTCATTATTGATTTATTGTATCTTCCGGCATGTTCTGGATAAACTGAATTATAATTAGAAAATAGTGAAGTGTCCATCATAATTTCCCAAAGCCAAGTTGACTTTGATTAAAATGACTCATTCTGTCTATCCACACATTTAGTTCAAAAACCTGCATAAATTCACCTTTACAAAGCTGAATCCGGTGAATTTCGGAAGCTCTAAGAACCAAACAATATTTTGCCTTGGCTCCTCAGTGTAGCTCATTTAAAACCTGATATGACCTGCATGGCTTCAGCTCTCTGTTGTGATTCACTTTCCTCTGCAATTACAGCATGATGTCTGCCAAAACAACCAATAACAACCATGTAAACCTTAGCTTACATGGTGTCATAGCAGAAAACATTTTGGTACTTGAATATCTAGTTTTACAATGCTGACTTAAGAAGGCGAGGCATGTAAGCCAATAAATCAGCCTGATGCCATTTTGTCTTTATTGACAATGGGAATTAAAGTAGACCACATGCCCATGGGATGGTTTTCACAGCAGAACCATCCCAGTAAAAAGCAACATTACATTGTGTACAGAATTCACTTTAAGCTCAGTATTAATATGGTGATAATACAAGAAGTTCCAGGCAAAAGCCTTTGAACCACTGGACAACCTGAAGCTGGTGCTTCAGATGGCAAGAGGCAAACTGAAAAAAGGAGTTTTAACTGCTGTCTGGAGGAGACACAACTGGATGTTTGATGTGATAAAACTCCCAGCCAATAAAAGAGAATTCAGAATTCCAGGTTAAGTTAAGCCGCTGAGCCACAACAGCTCTCCTGCTGTGATCTCATCCTCCTCTTTGCCCTGTTACTCCTTATTTCAACACTGAAAGTTTCCTGCTTGAATAGAGAAGATGAAACTCAAAGCCAAGAACAGCTGGTAATACTCGTCAGCAGAAACAGATACTATTCCCAGAACCTCCACCTCCTAATCCATTGAGCAAGGTCTGTAAAGAATACATAGCAATGTGGGTAACTAATCAATATCAAGTTTTAGCTTGAGATATAAATGCAACAAATTGTTTTTTTTCTAATTCACCCATCTTACATATGAACTGTATATCTTATCCAAAGTTCTAAAGCACGAGTGAAAGGCTTGACTCGTGACCTTTTCTTATTTTAACAGATGTCTGAGATAGAAAAAAAAAACAGGTCTTTAACTGGTCAGTGTAACAAAATGGCTAACAACAAATAGGCAGGAAATTCCAGCCTGCTGTTTATTTCTTTGGTGGTTTATTGTGGTCTGGCCTCTGAGGCAACCCAAAGTGTGGACAGTCTTTACCTCATCCAAGAAACATGGGAGAGGACACAGAGGGCCTATTGGAAAGAAGGGTGTGTTTGCATTTTGCAGCCACACTCAGAAACACAGCTGACTTGACCTTTGGAGAAGTTCGTAACAAATTTAGAAAGCAGAGTGAAAATACGTGCACACAGTGGAAACTTTACATCACACTAAGACTTATGCACAGTATACTGTGATAACTACTTAGCATAAACGTAGTAATGTCAGTGTTACTTGCGGCTCAGCTGGGAGCACCACAGATGTGGAGCTGCTTCCAATAATAAAGAACGGGAGACTCAGTTTGTCATTCTGGTGCCAAATAAATTAGATTCTATGGCAGTTCTGCCAAACCTGGGAAAAATAACTTCATTTCTCATAAATCATCCCAGCCCTCCTCACTGTCAGAGTTCACCCTCTGTTTGCTACAAATCTATGAAGGTGACAAAACAAACCTTATTTCATATGCCTGAAAGTTCATGACAACATGCAGAGCAGAACAAAAATAGGTTCTAACGCATGAGAAATAGAATCACATAACAATCCAGAGAGATTTCCATTTCATAAAATAAATCAACAAACCCTTCTATACTTCTCCACCACATCCATTTAGAATGACTGAAAAGGGATTCTCAACCAGCAGAAGAGGAAGGTGACAGCAGATGGGTACAAGTCCTTTTAAAATGAAGAAACTAAGCCTCAGCAAAAAGAGCTCCAGATGATTTAGGATGTGTAGCCGTATATTGTTGATGATGAGAGTGCAAAGAGTTAGTGTGCAAATCCATAATCTCACTATTTCAATCAATTTAAGAGCCAACAAAAATGTTAAATTAACAGCAGTAACTTTAAATCATTTGAAAAGCAGATCAGAAAATAGGTGGTTGATCATTTTCTATGTGGTAGCGGCCTCTGTTATGATGGCCAGAGAAATCTTATAATCATCTCTAATCTAATTGTTTAGATGCCCC